CGCAGGACGTCAGGCTCCTGAGGCTGCCACGGCATCCAAGGTCTCCATGAATCATTGCATCACGCAGACTGAGGCTCTGGCCGAGGGAGGTCCGCGATGCTCCCCTTGATTCCGTTGCCGTGTAGTAAATTGACATATCTCAGTTTCCTCAGATGAGCCCAGGCAACCCCAAGCAATACAACCACAAAAGCCGAGGCTTTGACCGAGGGAGATCTTTGATGTCCCCCCGGATCTTGTTGACTCTGTCGACGATCGGCATGTTCAACTTCAAGTATCTAAGGTTCCTGGGGCATGCGTACTGAAAGCCGCCCCACCCCCTGGTCCGATTGCAAGATACGTTGAGGCACTGGCGGTGGGAGGTCCTTGAAGTCTCCTGTGATCTCCCACGCTTTCAGATCCAGGAAAGTAAGGTTCCTCACGAGAGCAAAACTGGAAAGAGCGCCACCAACCGGTCTGCCGTGGAGCCGGCCGGGGCAGGTCACCAAAGCTTCCCGTGAGGTCGTAATCCTTTCCGAGGTTGAGGTGCTGCAAGGACCTGCGAAGAGGTCAGGTGGGCTGTGTTTGCCTCCACCTTCGGCTATGCTTCTGCAGAGAAGCCTTGGCAGATCCTGTATCTCCCCGACGCATTCACCAGACTGGCTCAGATCCAGGTACCGCAGTGGCCTCGGAAGCATCAAGGAGCTGATGATCCTGTGACAGTGGTCAAAGCGTTTCGCCGCACTACCGTACAAGTAAACAACCCCAGACTTCCAGCCTTGGTAGGGCGGCAACACTCCCGCGGACGTTCATCGCGGATGACAGATCCAAGTGCTGTAGTGTCCTCAGCTGCGGTAGAAGAATTACCATGGCATGGGACCCCATGGTTAAAAAAAACAGGTGCATGACATGAAGATTGCAAGTTCAGGACTCGTTTAGCTGGGCGGCGACGGCAGCTCTGACAGGTCCCCTGCGATCTGCAGATTCTTTCTGAGGTCAAGGTACTCGAGGGAACGTGGCAAGCCTCGTAGTTGTCCCGTGAGGAGATCATTTCGTGGAAGGCTGAGGTGTGTAAGGTTTCGCGGGAGGTCCTTCAGATCTCCTACAGGCAGCTCTCGACTGATCATCGTCAGATTGCTGAGGGACTTAGGGAGGCCGCTCACGTTCTCGATGGGCCTTCCATCTGCTCTCTCAAATCTGGCGAAGCCCAGCCCGGAGCCTTTCCGGAATGTTTCCATCATGACTTCGCCACTGGGGAAGAAAATCTCACCAGGCCCATCCACAGGGCTGCCGTCGCTGTTCTTGAAGCCTTGCAGGCAGCCTCCATAAATGTCCGCCAAGGTGGGGACGCAGAATTGCTCGTCCTCAGCCCAGCGCGATCTTGAGGAGAGCACACGAAGTCTGCACTTCAGCCCTTTCAGCCCTTTTCCCGCCTTGCTCTGAAAGGCGGTGGCCGAGCCAACCATCCGGAGCGGCTCGAGAGATTTGCCAGCCAAGAAGCGAGCAATGGCCATCCTCAGCAAATCTGCTTGGAAACTTTGGATAAGAGGAGAGAAGCGGGAAAAGACTCGGACGGTTGTTCTGTGCCGGATTCTGCGTCTCTCGAAAATATCGGGAGTAAAGGAGCAGAAGCCCTGATGGTGTCAGCCTCCGCGGGCTCACAGGCTTCAGGAATTCGAGGACATCAATGAAGCAACATGCTGAACAACTGCCAGTGGGGCGTGACGAATTTGAGGCTGGCTGTTGAGAACTCTCTGATCATTCCAGCAAAGCTATTGTGGCTGCTGCTGTGGTTGGGCTCCCCATGTTATTCACTGGGCTGCGGGCTGTTTTCTGCTACGTACTCTGACAGCTTCCAGTGGACTTCCGAAGTTGGTTGTTGTTACCGGTTCGCTGTTGCCTCCACCTAGGTCTCGGACACTTTTCCGTAATGATAGTCGCACATGCAGACAAAAGAGAAAAGAGGGACAGAGAGACAGGCGAAGATTCAAAACAGACCAAAAAACAAAAAACAACACGCAAACAGGCGAGAGGCAGACAGAGACACGGGGATCGAGAGAGAGAGAGAGAGCAAGAACAAAAAAAGCATTTGCTCGTTTGCGTGTGAAACAGTTTCCGCTGTCCATCTGCGCATGATGGCATGGCGTGCGCTTTTTCGCTCGTGCTTGGCTGAGGTGCAGCGGAGGTGCAAAGTGAAGCCGCAGGTTGCCAGGCAGACAGGCCAATGGAGGCCTGGGCAGGGAAAGAATCTTGCGGGGCCCTGCGACGCACCTTGGTTCGGGCACCTGCCCTTCCTTCGGCTGTCGGGGGCTTGTCCAACATGTCTACTTTCACCTGACAATTAAGATCAACAGTGAATGAAGGTACAACTCCTCTGCCGGGCCTTGTCCGTTTGCAGTAGTGGCACCTTCAATGTCCATGGCAGCACACGCAACAAGGAACGAGTCCGTGATTGCTTTTCCACGGTCCTGCTCGGCCCACTTCTCGTAGCCTTCGTCCTCGTTTGCATGTCTCGCACTTGGGCGTTGGTGGAAGGATGAAGAGCATTTTACTTGAGAGTCCTCACTCACCAAGCCGACATCGTGGTCTTGCGAAGCCATCGTAATGCAGAGGGAAGCTATTGGGCAGGTCAGATCTACAACGAGGTCTGGGTCGGGCCTACGGGCCTACATGATTTAACCTCACTGTAAATCTAATGTCTACGTGCGTGTCTTTTGGTCCTTGTCATGAAGCCGTCGTTTGACGAGGCAGGAAGGTTGTGCTGCAATCCTGGTGTATCCATTCCTAGGCCGATTCTCACTCTCTGCGACAGGGAGACGACATGGACATGGAACGTCATGTAACCGTGCTTGGAATTAATTGCTTGATTGGGAGTCCTGAGCTCGTGATGGTTGACGGTTGCGGAAGCTTGCGGCTTGGTCTGGCAGCTGCCAGCTATAGTTTGGCTTCGCACATCGGTGCTGTTTGCAAACACCAGACGTGAAATCACGCGGGCCTAGATCCTCAAGGGACCATGCAACGTTCATGTGTCACTGTCATTGAGTTTTAAACGGTGCTGAATGGCAGATATTATGTGAGCACATCGCATGGCACTGACTCCGAGCTTGGAGGAGCAGGCAAAGGTGGACGCGAATCGAAAGGCTTGAATTTTTGCGGCAATGCTTCAACTGCAACCCCTGGTTCTATGTACATATGCACTGCAGCAGGTGTGACACTACAGCACAAGCCGGGCATCGCAATACCCATGGATTCGGGTCTGCGGTTCGGATTTACTGTGCATGAGCATAAAGCGTAAGGCCAACGACATTTCTGAAAGCTTCTTCGCAAAGCTTCCGGCCCGTACCATTAGCAAGCAGCCACTGCACATCCTACAACAGTTTCAAAGAGGCAGTCGTCTTTGACGTCAGCTCCTCGTAACAACAACTTGCAATGCTGGCGGCGCTAACACCCTTTTCGCAAGCGCTGATGGCCGCGTTGTACGTGACATCCTGAACAACACGTTGATGGCAACTATAGTTTTAAATAGTGGGACGCGCAGTTTTTCACACGAAGAAAGCGCGAATGAGTTACAACCTGGCTTGCTCAGTGTCTTTCTTCTGCAGGCTCGTAGACAATCCCTGGGTCTGACGAACTGACGGAACATAAAAGGCCAAGCATCGGAGATTTCCACGGATGCGACGGCCAGATCTGGCAGCAGTTGAAGAGCCAGGGGCCACGCAAGCCCTCTTTCGCAGGCCGTTACCTGAAGCAAAAATCGAGATTGGTACCTCCAAGTCGCACCTCTACAAGCTCGCCAACAGTCACGGTCAACTACATCCGGCCAAGAGCCTAGCTAGCAAAGCTTCAATGCCCTCGACCGGAAACCGGACACATTTCTGCGTTCAGGTCTCTGAGGAAGATCGAAGCTAATAAGCTTTCAAGCCACCTGATCCTGCCGAATCCTAGAAGTTTACACCCGCATCCCGAAGCATACAGCGCCCAATACTACTCGCAAAGTTGGCCCGGAGTTTGCCACGATACCAGCGCATTGTACATGATGCAATGCCTGCCCGCGGAGATCTTACAGACAACCGATCGGATCAAGCTAAGTGGTATATCATCCTTGCAGCTGCGCTATCAACGGCTGCTACGTCTCCGGTGAGGCGCTCATTAGTTTTATTGTGCAGCATTCTCCTCCCGTCATGTAATCCGGCCATGCAGCTTCTCCAGCAGCTGGCTCTGTCCATCCACAAGCAGCTGCGCGGCAGTGAGCCAATTGGCGTCCTGTCTGCTATACCACGAATATTCTAACCCGACACCGTTGAAAGATTCAGTGGGTGGGATCTCCTTGTAGTTTGGTAAGATGCTGACTGCATGGAATGGTCGTGTTCGATCCCAAACCTGACCTCAACTCATTTCTGCCAACCCGCTAGCCGACACGCACTCCTTGCCGCAGGCACCCAGTGCAGCACCACAAGCAATGCTGTCGGCGCAGGGAGCACGGAGCAGGTGCAGCGCCTCAAGCTGTTGAGAGTGTAAAATCGGATGTATAGTGGAAAGATTGAGCCGAGCACAAGACCTCTTCGTGCCAACGCATGGAACCGGCCCATGAGCTTCTGAAAAAATCCGAACCGAGCACCCTTCCGGCCTTCCACCACGATGACCTCCTCGAAAGGCAAATTCCAACAAGCAGCCAGCTTGTTAAGCTTCCAGAGTTTCGGTTTTGCATATCTCGACTCCTCTGGCTAGGCTATCTTGCTGGGCACATCTGAAGATGGTGTGTGCCGCACTGGACAGATGCTGGGGCAAGACTGGAAGCTCAGCAAGCATTCATGCACCAGTCCTGCTGCCTACATTCTACATGCAGCATTTGTGTGTGGAACCATCTTCGGCTTATCTTGAGGAATAGCTGTTGATTGCTAATGTCGCACGTAGTCATAGTCCCGCTGCATCAATGGCTCAAGCTGCGAAAGTGTCCCAGACACAAGGTTTGGGACAAAAAGACTCAGGCCTTGCTCCTGTGACACCGAATTCCTTGTTTGCTTCCAGCCCGGCGGCTCGGCAGATGCCGTCGCCGAGCATCGCAGGATGTGGGCATCCCGAGACCTAATGTCGCATAAACAAAAACTTCATTCTGCGAATAGACAGACAGGCAGACCAGGAACAGCCCCGAAACTAATTGATTGTATCTAGACAGAAGGAGAACACCCGCTTGGCTGCCCTGGGGAGAACCAGTCCTGCCCTGGGCTACTTGGTCTCCAAGCGGTTTCAACCGAGCAAGAACAGGTCTGCACCTGCAACAAACTGAACCTGCTGCTGATGCCACTCTTGGGGCCTCCCTCATGACATCGGAGATGCATGGCATGTAGAGCGATTCTTTGTGGACAACTTATGTATGTAGACACCGGACGTAGTGATTGTGAGGGACCAATATCAAAGAAGCAGATGAGGGACAAGCACAAGGAATGCACTGATTGACAAGCCGCCGTCGGAATGAATCGAGGCCCTGAGGCGGAAGTGCAAATTCTAAAACGACTGGCAGGCACAAGCAAAATCATTTTCGTCAGCCAAAATATGCCAAATTTTGTTCACCCGCTCAGGCCGGGAAGCTGCAGTGTGCAGCGAGCTCCTGCAAGCTGGACAAGATGTGCGGCCGTCTGCCTCAAAGTTTCGTTTTTGCGAGACCGAGGCCTGCAGTCTGCTTGGGCTGGATGGCACATCGTGAAGAGTTGCGGATCCAGGGGAAGGCGATCCAGGGGGAGGGGGCTGTCGCATTTCGGGTACTGCTAAAGTGGAAGCCGAGATCCCGTTTCATGCGCCACTCCTGCATTGAGGAAGTCGGACTTTGGGTGCGAAGCATGAATTGAAAGACCAGCTTGTCTGCAGATTTTGGGGCACGGATCTTGTACTTTAGGCAAGCCGGAGTCTTGCTCGGCTTGGACTTGGAGTCAAAAGCCGAAGGCACCACTGCGAAGCGCGGCTGCAAACATCTGTCACGGCCGTGAAGGTGACGACATCCTCGAAAAGCCAGTCGGTTTGGGACGGGACTCCCTTACTGGTGGGTTGGGAAGGCAGCCTTGCTGAAAATGGACAATCCCATGCATTGCCAGTCATGCCCAAAAGCAAGAGCGACTGAACGGACCACAGGTTAATCAACAAAAGATAGCTCGATCCGGGCTTGGGAAGTCGGCGAGACATCCATCCACCACGTATCACTTGTGCAAGCAAGCACAACCAAACGAGAATGACACACACACCCAGACAGAGACGCAGACAGACACACACAAACACACACACACACACACAAAAGCAAATATAGACACAAACACAAGCTAAGCATGCGCACGCGTAAGAAGCGCTTGGAGACCGACAAAATCCGGCAACGGAACAACAAAGCACATGCAAAAAGCCGGACAGGTGTGAATGCAAACGGCCACATAGGCAAACCTGAGCACCCGAGGGTGTTCCTTTTCCTCGGTCGTCGTTGCGTCGGCTAGGAAGCAGTCGAAAAGTGTGCCCAGCAGCTCCGTAACAC